GCTGGAGTGCAGTGGCACACTCATGGCCACCACAGCCTCAACCTGCTGGGCTCTGGCGATTCTTCTGCCTCAGCCTTCCAAGTAGCTGGAACTCTAGCCGCACGTGACCACGCCCAGATTATTTTATTTATTTATTTATTTATTTAAGGGACAAGGCCCCACCAAGTTGCCCAGGCTGGTCTCGAACCCCTGAACTCAGGCAATCCTCTTGCTTCGGCCTCTCAAAGTGCTGGGATTACAGGCTTGAGCCACCGCACCCAGTACCACCCCCTTTTTTTGTAGAAATAAGGTTTCACTATGTTGTCCAAGATGGTCTCGAACTCCTGGGCTCAAGTGATCCTCCCACCTTGGCCTCCCAAAGCACTGGGATGACAGGCACGAGCCACCATGCCTCACACAATAGACTAATTCCAAATAAACAGCAGCTCAGCCATGGCCCCACTATCCCCCAGTCCCTACAGCCCATCAGTGGACACTTCCCCGTGGTGGTGTCCCCTCACCATCTCCCCCAACTGCCACTTCCTCCAGTCTCTCTCTCATGGGGGCCCCACTGTCTGCAGCCCTCCCCCCCACCCCGAGGACCCTCCCCGGTTCCCTCTGGACACCTCTCTTCCACAGCCCACCCTCCAGCCTCTTGAGCCCTCCTCCCTTCTGCTCTCCCCCTGACTCCACACTGGTCCAGGCCCCATCTTAGGAGGCTCTTTTGAGCACTGTCCACACAATGTCACGTCACCCCTCAAGATGTCTCATCAACAAGGCCCTGTATGTTACATACCATATGCTTCATGTGATGAGATCCCAGGCTAGGTCACACACGGCAGGTTTATACAGTAGGAGAAACATGGCAGACACTGATAACTGACCCCAGGATCTGCGCTTATCTTCTTCGGGCTTTCTCCCTCTTTCCAGTAACAGACCCCAGCTTTCAGCCCAACCTATGACCTCCCAGAACAAAGGCTACGTTCTCTGCCTCCCTGCAGTGGCATGTGACCATGTGCTAAGGTCTGGCCAGTGGAATTTTAGCTGCAGTGATACTGAGGCTGTTCCTTTAATAGAATGGAAGTGCCCTCTGCACTTTTCTCTTCTCTTACAGGTTAGAGCCAGGATGGCAGGTGAGCCACCTTGGACCAACATATTTCATGGAAGGCAGAGCAATAAGACGGTGGGAATCTGGGCTTCGACATTATGGTCCCCTTACAGATCGACTGTTACATGAGAAAGAAAAAAATGTCCTAGGCCGGGCATGGTGGCTCATGCCTGTAATCCCAACTTTTTGGGAGGTGAGGCGGGAGGATTGCTAGAGCTCAGGAGCTCGAGACCAGCCTAAGGAACATAGTGAGACCGCATCTCTACAAAAATAAGAAAAATTAGCTAGGCATGGAGGCGTGTGGCTGTAGTCCCAGCTACGTAGGAGATTAAGGCAGAAGGATCGCCTGGACCCAGGAAGTTGAAGCTGTGGTGAGCCATGATCATGACACTGCACTGCAGCCTGGGTGACAGAGTGAGACTCCATCTCAAAAAAAGAAAGGCAGAGAAAGGGAAAGAAGGAGGGGAAGAGAGGGAAGAAGGGAGAGAAGGGAAGGAAGGAAGGAGAAGGAAGGGGAAGGGAGGGAAAGAAAGAAAGAAAAGGGAGAGAAACTTCCATCTTGGTGAGCTAGTGAGTGAAGTCTTCGGTCAGAGCTGCTAAACTCCTAACTACCTCGTCCTACCTGCCAGTAAACTGACCGCAGGCTCTGCTACAGCAAGAAGCCCGCACCCTCGTCCATCCGGGGACTCCCTCGGGCACCCAGGGATGGGTGGTGCTGGCCAGACAGACGCCCCCCCCCCCACCTTCAGGAGCCCTTACGGATGACGTCGTCTCCGAACTGGTGCTGGGCGATGTGCTGGAAGAGCGTGGTGAGCACTGGCAGCAGCGCCACGGTGGTGTAGGTGAGGTTCTGGCCCACGCCCTTCACCTGCGTGCGCGCCTGCGACACCTTGCCCAGCCGCAGGTTCTCCACCATCTTCTCGATGTCTTCCGAGGCGCTCTCGAAGAAGGAGCGGAGGCCAGCCTTCACGATCTCCGGGCCCGACTTCATCACCGTCCTGCAAGGGCAGCGGGGGAGCTCCAGCTCTAGAATCTGAGACTCTAGATTCCGGAGTCCAGGAGCCTGATGGGCGTGGGAGGCGGTGCCACCCCCCATAGCCCTACCTGGCATCCAGGGAGCGGGCCAGGATGTGAAGACAGTTGACCACAGCCGGGGCATCCGTCCCTGGGAGGGGAATACGGGCGGGGGGGAAGCTAGGGCCACAGGGACAGCGACCCCCTCTCCATCCGCCCCAGCCCTCTCTCCCTGAGCCCACCTCCTGATGAGGTCAGAATGCCACCCGCCCACCCCTGCCTGGACTCCCACAGCTCCCTGAACTTCCATCATCCCAGCCCAGACCCCCTCCTCTGCTTTTTTTTTTTTTTTTTTTAATTGTAGAGATGAGGTCTCACCAAGTTGCCCAGGCGGTTCTCGAACCCGCGGGCTCAGGCAATCCACTCACCTCAGCCTCCCAAAGGCGCGGGATTACAGGCTGAGCCACCGAGCCCGGCTGCCTCCTCTGCTTTTCCTCCACCCTGGCCCTGACCCCTCTGGGCTGTCCCTTTCTGGGGACGGTGTCCTTCCCCCCTGCTGGCCTGGGAGCTCCATGAGGACAGGCCTGGGATGTCTCAGTCACTGTCATGTCCCTGAGGCCACCCAGCCTATGTCCAGATCCAGAAGAGGAAAGAACACAATGAATGCTGTTCAAATTAAACAGGGCCTGGGAACTGTTTCTTGGGGGAGTGGGGTGGGAGGAGGCTTGGAGGGGAAGAGAGAGATGAGAGCGGAGTCTCGGCAGCCGAGCTACTTACCAAAGAGAGAGACTCGGTGGCGGACAAGAGCGGCAAGTTTGCAGAAGAGGCTGAAGAAGAGAAAGGGAGCAGAGGATGAAGGAACAGGGCGTGAGAAGGCCACAGACACAAGGGCAGCAGTGACCCGCTTAGAGGAGGCAGGGACAGAGGAGCTGGGACAGGGCAGAATGAGAGAGAAAAAATGGAGGCCGGGAGCGGTGGCTCCAGCCTGTAATCCCAGCACTTTTGGAGGCCAAGGTGAGAGGACTGCCTGAGTTCAGGGGTTCAAGACCAGCCTGGGCAACTTGGGAAGACCTCATCTCTACAATAACTCAAAAAATAAGCCAGGCGTGGTAGCGTGCGCCTGGGGTTCCGGCTACTTGGAAGGCTGAGGCGGAAGGGTCGCCGGAGCCCAGCGGGTCAAGGCTGTGGTGGCTGTGAGCGTGCCACTGCGCTCCAGCCTGGGGGAAAGAGTGAGACTCCGACTCAAAAGAAAAGAAAACGGAGACAGGAGAGATGAGGCAGGGGTGAGAGGTAGGCAAGCCAGCAAGTCACAGGCAATAGTGGGATGCAGGGGTGGGGGTACCTGGCACAGAGCCCCTGAGGGCAAAGGATGGGAGCAGGGAGCCAGGGTGACAACCCCGTGAGGCTGGGGCTGGGTCAGAGGTCACAGGCCCACCTGGTGATCATCTCCTTCTCCTTGTTGGAGGCGTGGCCACCGCTGCCCAGCACTTTGGCTGGTGTGGAGAGGAAGTAGAGGCAGTGGTTGGTGAAGTACTGATTGATCAAGGGAAGCAGGATCTGGAGGTGGAGGGGAAGGAAGGGGAGCTGGTGAGGGGTGGGGCAAGCCCACCCGGTCCCCAGCCCCTGCCAGCTTCAGAGCCCACCTCTCACCTTGGCGAAGAATTTAATCTCCTGTTCATGTGGGGACTTTTCCACACGTCCGCTGCTGACCACAGCCTCTGTAGGGGAGGGCAGAAAGGGGTCGTGGTGGGTTCAAGGCTGGGAACCCAGGAAATCCTGACAGGAGGAACCCTGGGGGCAGAGCTAGGGAATGATGGGAGATGATGGCTTGCTATGAAGTCACTCTGTTGGCTTTGAGATAAACCTTTCACTGGATCTCCCTAACTCCTTGATCAAACCCCTCCTGAAGCGGACCATGAGGACAACCTGGAATAGGATAAGGTGGTGGAACATGCCCCTCTTCACCCATCATAAGCCCTTATCTTTCTGAATGTCAGTACCTGGCACTGAATAAATCTGTAATAAATGAATGAATGAGCCAAATGAAATAAAAAGCCAATACAGAGAAACTAGAGTTAATTTCAAAATGCAAATCAATTTTAAACAATAATGGTGACTACAATAATAAATACTACTGACATAATAATACTGGCTCCAGTTATTAAACTCTCGCTCTACTCTCAGCCCTGGGAGAGAGACATGAGGTCCTTGCAACAGCCTCCTCCCACATGAGGCTCCATGTAGTTGATCGTCCTTCGCATTTTTCAGATGAGGAAACACAGGTGAAATTGATATGGAAACCTACTATTGTCTGCCCATATTGCCACAACCCTTAAAGAAAAGCATAACAAGCATTCAAGCAGGACTGCACTTACCTACATTCCTGAGAATTAGCAAAGAAGAGCATTTTTCCTTATCTCCTATACATCCCCCATTAAGTCACTTCAAAGAACCCTTAGCCCCCTGTCGACTGTGCTCATTCAACTGAGAAATGAATCCCTATTCATTCTCTTTATCTGTGGTCATAGACTTGAAAACATAGCACCCATGTAACCATAAGCCTTGTAATTTATATAACTTTTTGTGTGACATAACTACTAATTAACAAGATGTCATAGTGAATACTGTTTTACTTTGGTTTTTGTTTGTTTTTGTTTGTTTGTTTTTGAGTTGGAGTCTCACTCTGTCGCCCAGATTGGAGTGCAGTGGCCACTCCCAGCCACCGCAGTCTTGACCTGCTGGGCTCCGGCGATCCT